TCCCTGAAGGACCGTGAGGATTATTAGACTGGGCACATGTGCATCTGGTGAGAGAACGAGACTGGCATGTTCAGAGGAAATAGCAGCAGACACAGCGGTCTCCACGACACAACAGGACCCCTCTTTTCAATTTCCTGCTCCAGTTTCCATTCCTGCTTTATTTCTGTAAAGTAGGAATCGCAAAGGAGGAATGCAGCATTTAGCCGATATGGCACCACAGAGCACAAAACAAGGAAATTGAATCTGTCAAAGGCAATATTTGCGATAATGATCTCAATAAAAACATAGGGTGATTTCAAACATGGGTTAGTGGGATTCCCTCAGGAGATTTTACCTCTTACACAGCAGTGGTCTCGAACTGGCTTTAAAACAAGTGCTGCACACTTCACATTTAATACCAGCATGTTATCTGATGCACATTTTATTTCCTTGTTTGACATCAGGGCCATGATAGTGTTGTTGTGCTTTCTTTTTCCAGTTGGATTCAGGAGGCACAATCTTTGCATCCCAAGTCGACGGTGTTTTCTGAGGCAGTATCCGAAGAATTCTAAATGTACTGTTGGTGCGCCACTCATCCAAATTCCCATACAACACAGGTTTAAACAATTCAATGCTACATAATGTATCGCTCCTTTATCTCCACTTTTTCCCTATTTTTTTCAGAGACTTTGATTCATAGTTTTCTTTTTGACAGTTAAAACAAATGTCTAAAAATATCACACAAATATTCCCTGCATATATTGCCTACCTTAGTTTTAAATTTGACAGATATTCATCACCGCTGCTCTCAAAGGATGAACACATTTTAGTTAAAAATCTCTTATTGTGGAATATGATACAACTCTCTTCCAGGTCTACTTTAAACATGTATTGTAGAATTGTTGATGTTCATCGGCTCACATACAAGCTGGTACAGATACAACTCAGTTTTCTTGTGACGTCACACAATAATGTTTTTCTGTGGTTGTCAGGTGATGTAGACATGCAGCGTTTTTTGAAGAGATGAACAAGCCACAGAGTGTTCAATTATGGCCGCCACTTTCCTAGAAGCTCTTTTTGCCCTCCAGGCCGCCGCGTCATGTGACTGAAAGAATATTTTCAAGAGAGAGAGAGAGAGAGAGCACAGCACGTGCGTCACTAATTAGACTCGTAAAAGTAACACACATCAACATGTTCACCAACCTCGATTTCCACATCTAAGGTTGCCACGGGAAGCAGACACAACAACACCTAACAACTATTTATTACTTTAATTTATTACAGTATTTTATCTCAGTGCGTCTGTTCAAACTGATATTTTCCAATGCAACATTAGGAATCATATTCATAATGTGCATATATATGGTACAACAGTGTAATAACAGCACAACGAGAACCGCTGAAGCACCCAATGACAGGCTCTGTTTTTGTTTTGATTCACAGAATTGAAGGTCAAAATGACTGACAGAGCTTGCTGTGCAACACACAGCAGTTGAAGGTGAGTCTGAAGTCTTTTGTTTTTGTTCAGATTGTGTTGTATCATAGTGAGCCTGAGCAGTAAGTGTAAACTTCAGATGTGGTGTTGCACAAAGGTGCTGGCTCCAACAGTTCAGCTGGAAACATTCTTGAAGTATCACATTGCTATTATTGGAATGAAAATATTCCGCCTCCTTTTTGGGAGGCTCCAATTGCAGCTTCCCATCCCACGCGATTCTTCAACTTTATTGTTTATTTGATCTAGTATTTCAACGAGGAAGATCTCAGCCGCTTTCTTTCCAGGAAAGTGAGAAAGAGTGAGAAACACACCCACTTGAGAAACCGTTTTTTACGTTTTGTCAAGTGTTATATAAGCACAGATTGTTTTCCAGGATTTAAACACCAAAGAAGGATTCAAATGTAAATGAGAAATGTAAGTACATATCGCACACAGTCAGAAGTATAATAATAAAAACTGAGACTTTAGGGCAAAGTTCTTACTGTTTTCTTTGCTTTGAAAAACTCTCGACATGAACAACTGTTCCATCTTGTGCTCATAAAAGCAGAGGGCCTACCAGGGAGCAGAGATAGCATGCAGCAGTTTGCAATCACCATCACTCTGCCTCCATGACACAAAGGGGAGACTTCCACCCAGCAAGCATTTGATTGAAGCAGCAGCAGAACATCAGGGTTTGTCTTTATGCCGATGCCACACACTGCATAGAGATGTTGTGCATGGCAGCAGGAGTGTGTGTGTGGGGGGGGGGACTTTGCGGGACTCTATGGTGCACTGGGGTTCCTCAGCATTATCCTTCCCCCCCAATGCTACATATATTGAATGTCTTACTGTCTACTGTCTCTTGACTGTTTAGTCCAAAATATCTCACCATGAGCCAACACTTGGTGACAGCAGAAAGAAATAAAAACTCTTTAAACAAGCAGACTGCAAACTCTAGGTGGAGGAACATCTGCCCTTGTTAGGTTTGTGTGAGGGATACAAAGAAAGAAAATAAGAGAGAGAAAGAAGAAATTAAAAAGCAAGAGAGATTAATTGGGATCCCTAATTGTAAGGAATTAATGTACAAACAGGAAAATACTCACATGCTAATGATGTGCCGCTGCTGCTGCTGCTACTGTCAATGTACTTAAATCATTGATTTAAAAAGTTGAAGTTTATTCCCTGCATGCAGTCTGTCATATTTTATTGACTGCATATACTGTATGCGCTTATTTCAATTAATAATAACAGGTATGCTACCTGCACACTTCCTCAGTCTTTATACACGGATTGGCAGGCACTCATACATGTGCAAGTCATCAAACTTTGATGCAAGCTAATCAAGCTGACCTAAAAACATTTCATGAGACTATAAGCAAACTTGTTTTTCTTCCAACTTGACTCATACCCCATCCTGATAGGCTCTTGGGTTGAAGACATCGAACAGACCCCTTGTTGATCTGAGCTGTTGAGCAGCATGCAGGCGAGAGCACGCAGAACAGACACCCACCGCGCGCTAATGTGTACATCCTGTTGAGAAGACGGGTCGCCCTGGAGACCAGGCGCAGGTATCCTAGCAGGAGTGCAGAGGAGATGCTTATATGCCCTGTGAGCCCCTCGTTAGGGAGAACTGTTTGTGTGCTCCTCCAGTCTGGGATTGTTTTCTACCCAGAGGTCGTTGCTGGATCAGTTGCGATCAAAAGCCTACAGCTGTAGGATTGTATTCCTGAGAGTTTAAGGAGTAAATTTCCAGACCATGGAGGACAAAAGTGGGAAAAGTACAGGTACCTTTAACCCCTTTGAAGAACTGTTACTGAGGTGCCCTCAAGCAAGGTACTTCAATACAATGATAGTTGGCCCAAATGAGGCACTGGCTTATGCAGGGTTGTTTAATTTATGCAGTTAACAGTTATACAGTGTAACATAAATCTTTTAATGAATAAAGAACAGTATTGGAAAAAAAAGGCGATGGGGACAAAAAATGTAATAAAGGGGGTCAGGGACATAACCACTCGGCTCAATGTAAAATGAAGGTTTCTACATTGGATTCATTTACATATTTCATACTGGCTCACTTATGTATTCTACAATGTATACTAAATATACTTATATATGCACCTCTCATATTTATGCATACACACATATACACACATGTAAATATTCGTTCTATAATTTAAAATATTTATAACATCAGACGTTATACATGTGCACATTTTTAAAAACACACATATATATATATATTACATTGACACAGTATATACAGGCATATGCTCTTTTACACTCCCACAGGAACACAAGAGTCCACCTTCGTAATCATTCAACTAATGATTTTATCTATTTGAAACCAGGGGGCGGTCCGGTGTTAAATGATATCTGTGTTTGGAAAAGGAGAAGACAGGCCTCTAACTTCTAATATGCTTAATGCTGTCGTTAGAATTTTCCTTCAGTTAAGTCCATCTCTTTATCTCTTTTCAAACAGTTCTTCCATATTCCTTATTCTGTGAGTTGATTTTTCCATTAATGTGGCTTCTTGAATCAGTTTTTTCCATTTTATAATGTCTGGGCGTTTAGTTCCCCCACGCCCCCCCCAGCTTCAGTGCTGTAATTCTGAGTATTTAAAATAAATAGTGTTCATCTTTTCCAAGCCCAGTTGGAGGTATTCCAACTATGATGTGCTCTGCTTCCTTTAAATGAAGTGGTTTGTTGTAAGTGTTTCCTCAATGGACTTGAAAACTTCAAACCAAAACTTAGGGAATAAAAAGGAAGAGTCATATCCAAAGTCCCAATTTAAGCTGCATGCTTACTTGTTTGCAAGGTCAACTGGAAGAAGGTCCAGTAGTAATTAGCTTTAAGCGAGTTTATCGCCTATCATAGTGGAGTTGAAGTTGTGTCACCCCCACCCGGGTGCCTGTATACTGTGACAAGGACAGTAGTTCAATTTAATGGCCTAATACTTTTAAGTAGCTCGACTTAACTGTGCTTGTAAACGTACTGATTGTTAAGGATTTTTGGAGTGGCCCCATCGGTGGTCAATCAATGGTCAATGGTACACCTCAGGGGTGGTCATGGCCATTGCTGGCCAACCCTTGGATCAAGCCCTGCTTATACAAACAAAATGACCTCAGTGGAGCTTCTTCTTCCAATTAGTGGAGCCCAGCATTTAACGGATAAAACCAGAAGCTTCCAAATACAATAAAGATTTTTTGATTTAATTGGAAAGTTCTTTGAGTACTGCATCAGCATTAAGCAGGTCATAATACTCACTCTCCAAATTAACTGTATTTCTTATCAGGGTCTAGAATATAGTTTTATATAACAAAATAGATGTATAAAAGTGAAGGTGATGAAAGGGAATTGACACACTGTTGACCTTCTCTGTGATTGATTTACCTTCTTCAAGTGTTAGCTTTCATTTCAGTGAAATTTTGATATTGAACAAATGTAAAACAGCACCGTCATCTGGCAACATGCAGCATCACATTCACTGTGAACATAGAAAATGATTAACTGGCGCCATCAAGAGGACATTCATTGACAGTGACACAAGTATCTGTCAACCACAGAGGTAAAGACTTTATTTCTCAGAAAATATCAAAAATATCTAAAACAGTAATGATCACAACAACCAATGTGCCCGCCACTAAACACACCCCTGAATCAAGGATTACAAATATGGCAAGAAATGGAGGCCCACACTCTCAAACGGTCCTCACATTTTCTCCATCTGTAAAGATGCTACTGCGGTTTTCTTTAACTTTCTTCTTGTTTTCATGAGCCCATATACAACAAAGATGACACCAAGTACACTTACAAGGAGAACTGCAAAGAGGACATAAAGAGCAACTCCAGCATCATCAGATGAAAGCTCCAGACCTAAAAAGTTCACCATGTTCACAGGTGGAATGGGGGTAGTTGTAAGCAAAGTGGTATCTGGTGTCTGCGCAGTTGTAGCTGTTAAACGAGAGAGACAGAAAACAAGGCAAATTCAGATATATTTAGAAATATTTTGTTTTTTGCCAAAAATTCAAGAATCTTTTTGACATTGTGTATCTGGATGTTAGTATGTGAGTTTTTCCACACCCTAAAATTAAATTAGTAGTATTAGTAGTAGTCCTAAATCTCACCATAAACACATAATTTTGGAATTACATGACAAAGCATTATTTTACCTTCAGGTTCAGGGTTCAGACACTCATGGGGCCCGAGGGCTGGGTCTGGGAAGCCGTTGCATGAGATGATGGAGGCGTAGCGAGAAGCTGAGTTTTTAGGGATGCGAGGAAGGTTTGGGTCAGAGCGGTTCACGAAGAAAAGTCCAAATCGCTCGGAGTAGCCAGCAGCCCACTCAAAGTTGTCCATTAATGACCAGGCAGTGTATCCTCTCAGATCAACTCCATCCAGAACTTGAGCTTAAATATTAAGAGGAATGGTTACATTTAATTTTTGTATATACCTGAAAAAACCTGGCTACATTAGTCCCCTTATGAAACCGTACAGAATGTCATGTCAAAAATAGCAATACAATCGATGTGGTACCTTTCAGGGCCTGGTTAATGTACTTTTCATAGTAATGCTTTCTGTGGATGTCATTCAGGTCGACTGCTCCACGTTCTGAGATGCCGTTCTCTGTGACATACACAGGGGGGTTTCCATACTCATCCTTGATAAACTTGAGGATTTTCCTAAATCCAAATGGAGTGATCTTAAGCCAGAAGGAGCCAGATTCGATCCAGGTGCGATCATGGGTGGTTCCAGTACCCCTGCACAGATAATAAATCAGACATTAAACAGGGAGGAACAAAGTATGGCATTAAATTGTTGATTTGCATTCCCTCTTGTCACAGATTTACTGCTCAGCTGCTGTATGACTTGAAAAGCAGTCATATCATTTGGGGGTTATTTCTTTAAATTCAGACCTACCTGTCACCTTCATAATCCTGCTGCTTTCCCAAATCAACTGGGTATGACAGAACTGTGGTGTAGTGGTTGAAGCCAAAGTAATCATGAGTCCCTTTGATCCTCTGGATTTCTTCAGGGGTAAATTCAGGTAGCCTGTTCAAGAAAGCAGAGCTGTTTTCAAAATCCAATGACGGCTTTCTCTTTCAATCTTACAGACTTAAATATTGACCTAGCACTTACAGTGCCTAGCACTGCAGTGTAAAAAGTAGTTATTGCACTAAAACCTATCATTAAAGAAAGTGGTGGGGTAGGTTTTTGGAGAGCATGGACAAAATGTTTTATCAAGGCCTTTAAACCAAGGTGTGTTTGACATTATAATACTATACGCCAAACAATATGAACGCTGTTCTTGTGAAGGTGAAAACTATTTCAATTACCGTGATTTAGGGAGACCTGCAGCAAGACTTCTTTCATGAATTGTTTTTTTCATCACTTCAGGGTAATCACCATTGAAAATGGGATGGGCAAACCAGCCAATGAAAAACTGTTGAAAAAAGCGTAGGTTGCATGAATCTAATAATTTTGATACAAGATATTTGGGGCACTGTCATACATATATATAGCCTCTACTTCACAGGCTTTAGATACATTTTGCTCTCTGAAAAATTCCTGAACAATGCTGCCACAAGTACAAACGTTAATGTAATTTGTCTACCTGTAAGTAGCGTTTGGCTGCATCCACGTCCTCCTGTTTATAGGGGTTCCTTGGCTCCGCCCAATCAGAATTAATGGTGATGGAGATGATGCCACCCTGTTTTGCTCTGTACTTTCTATTGTAGAGGTGCCAGGCCTCTGCATGGGCTTTGATCAGGTTATGAGCTGCAATATACTGCTTGCCTATGATGCCTATAAGGAAATCCAGAGATAATTGACATTGCTGTTACTCATTATCATACATTGTAAAATTTTAAACAAAAGGTCATATACCTAACTAACAGAGCTACTCTTCAACAATGTCCTCCTTCAAGTAACAATGAGTGAAACACTAGTTAGATATAACTACTACAATTTTTCTCAGACTTTTAGCTTTAACTACCTGAAAAAATGTACATTCACTAATTAATATTTAAAAGACTTGACTCAAAACATGGGATTCCTTTTACATTACACAACGTTTTACATTACGTTTACAATTATCTGTCAAACTATTTTTGTGTGTAACACCTGTTTTCATCGCAGATACATTTCCAAGAAGAAGAAGGGAAAGGAGAAAAAGAAGAACAACTTTTTCACATATAGTATTCAATTCTGACCAATAAAAAAATAAATTTCTCAACAATCTAGTATTTATTATTTGACAAACAAAAAAAGGTAACTCAAAGAAAATATATTTGATTACCTGGAGCAAAGGTACCATATCCATAACCAAGGTTGGCTACAATGTAAGGTTCATTTAGAGTGATCCAGAACTTCACTTTCTGTCCTAATCTGCTGAATAAAACATCTGCATACTCATAGAATCTCCGAACCATGATTTCATTCTCCCAGCCCCCAATTTTCTGCAGAGCCAGGGGAAGGTCCCAGTGGTACAGAGTCACCTTAGAAACAGAGAAGAGGACATTTTAAATGCTGTTCCACACTTTTCTGGTGGGTGAGGTTTTCCTTATTTGGCATTGCATTTCCTTTAGATGGAATAGTAGAGGTTTTTGGCAGCACAGACTGCTGAGGCCCTTGAGACTTTGCAGAGGAGCAATAAAAGTTATACATTTTAATATACAGCACTACATAGGAACCATTTGTGGTCATAATCAAAATGAAAACCTACTTGAGGCTCAATATTAGCAGCTTTCAAGGCATCCAGTAACCTATGGTAGTAGTCCAGTCCAGCTTCATTGATAAAGTTGTATGTGCCATCAGGGAGCACTCTGGACCAGGATACAGAGAAGCGATAGTGGGTCACCTTCAATTTCTTTAGCACTGCCACATCCTCGTCAACCTTATTGTAGCTATCACAGGCAATATCGCCATTGTAACTGTTGTCCACTCTCAATGGTGTATGAGCAAACTTATCCCAGATACTCAATCCTTTTCCATCTGTTCTCCAGCTTCCCTCAATCTGAAATGAGAGAAAAGTTATATTACAAAACAAGCCATTGTAAATACTTCCAATAAGTATTCCAAGTGTTTATTAAAGATTCCTTCAAATTAACTTACATGCCACTATGGTAGTATACCACAAGTGCACTTTAATTGAAGAGGATTACATTTTTCAACATTGCTCACCTGGTAAGAGGCACTGGCAGTACTCCAGTTAAAAGCCATGGGAAACTCTTCATAAAGTGTCCTCTCGTCATCTGGTAAGGGAAAGCCATTGTCCTTCATGACTTTGTAATAATAGTGAGCAGAGCGTTTTGGTGTCCTTGGCCGGTGTGGGTTAGTGAAGTCAACATGGTGCAGCCCAAATCCAACTTTGTATCCATTGAGCCATTCAAAGGAATCCATAAGGGATGTTGCTATGTATCCTTTCACCCTCACGCCATCAAGATTATGGGCTGTGGATGAAACATAAGGAAAGCAATAATATAATCAGCAACATAAAAATGTTGCCATTTGTGGTGTTAGATGGTCATCACACATATTTTTTGTCTTCAAAATGCTAGATTAAAAGAAAAAAATGTATGTTGGAAGGTTTTAGGGGCTAATGTGAAACACTCACCCTTTAGAGCCTCATCAACATAAGTTTTGTAGTAAAATACTCTGTCAATGTCATCGACTGTGGTCTTAGTGTCTGTAGCAACTCCATTCTCTGTAATGTAAATCTCTGGATCACCATACTCTTCCTTGATCCAGATGAGGAGTCTTCTTAAGCCCCATGCTACAGCTTTTTGCTTGCTTATTGCAGTACTGGGTGAATCACTTTCCTCTGCTTCTGACAAGTCTTTGTCATATTCATAAGACGGAGGGGAAAGCCGGGCTGTCAAATGGCCTACAATTTTTGTGGTGTAGTGATTAACACAGAACATGTCAGCAGTTCCCTTGATGAAGCGCTTTTCTTCTTCAGTGAAGGCAGGTAGTCTTGTCTCTGAGAGACCTTGAAGTTCACTTTTGTTTCCAACTTGCCACTTCATTGCATCAGGATAATCACCGTTCTTGAAAATAGGATGTGCAAACCAACCCAATTGGAACTGCAGAGCACGATCAGCAGCCACCACTTCACGTGGAGCATTAACATCTTTAGGTTCAACCCAATCAGCGTTAAGGGCAATGGATACTTGACCACCTTGGGATTTGCGATACTTATCATCATATGTGTGGTAAGCCTTGGCGTGGGCTTTGATAAGGTTGTGTGCAACTCTGTAGGGAGCAGTTCCTGGATTCTTAACATTTGGTGGGATCTGTCCGAGTCCATATCCTGACCATGCAATTGTGTGAGGCTGGTTAAAGGTCATCCAAAACTTCACTCTGTCACCAAAGGTGGCAAAGCAAAAGTCACAAAACTCATTAAAAATGTTAATCATGTCTTCATTCTCCCAGCCACTGAGGTTTTGAAGAGCTTGAGGAAGGTCCCAGTGATAGAGTGTCACCATTGGAGTGATGTTATATGCTAAAAGCTCATCTATCAGTCTATTGTAGTAGTCAACACCTTTCTGGTTCAGGGAGGTACGACGACCATCAGGAAAGATCCTGGACCAGGACAAAGAGAATCTGTATGACTTCACCCTCAGAGCTCGTAACATGTAGAGGTCTTCGTCAAGTCTGTTGTAGCTGTCACAGGCCACATCTCCATCGGCATTACCAGGAATACTGCTGGTTTCATTGGTAAACGTATCCCAGACACTGGGCCCTTTCCCATCAGCATTCCATGCACCTTCAATCTGGTAAGCCGAAGATGACACTCCCCAACTGAAGCCATCAGGAAAAGTGCCATAGTGATAGAGTTTTCTTTGAAAGTTGGTTTGGCTGGAGAATCTACTCCAAACATTTTTGGTTTGGGATGGGACAGTGGAAGGTGGAAGAGAAGAAACTTTATTTGGCTCTATATTTTTAGTTTCTTGTGCATTAAACAACTTTTCCCTGGAAGCAAAACCATTGTTCTCAATAATTTTGGAGTAAAAATAGGCAGACTGCTTTGGAGTTCTTGGCCTGTCAGGCAGGTCAAAGTCAACATGATGCAATCCAAAACGTTCACTGTGGCCTTGTGGACCTTCAAAGCTATCCATGAGTGACTGCACAGTAAACCGCTGCACGTTAACACCATCCAAATGTATAGCTGTGGGGAGAATAAGGACAAACAATTCTTATATAATCCCTTTAAACATGGTGACCAGTTTGAAAATATAGGAATCAGATCTGTACAAGAGTAATTTCAAGGAGGAAGCCACAGTGACAAAACACATGCTATGGTTGGCTTAAACCAAAAAAATACTAATTTTTTTAGGTTATCTTAAGTGTTCCTCATAAAGGCTTTGCCAAGTGTGTTTATTTGCATAAAGAGTTACATTTTACTTACCTTTGAGGGCCTCATTGATGTAACTCTTCAAATAATCTACTCGATGGGTGTCATCAAGAGTGTCCCCGCTGTACTCAGTCGGCATACCATTCCCAGTTATGTGAATAGGCACTTTGGTAACATTTAAGTACTCCTTGGAAATGTAGTTCAAAAGCCTTCTAAGTCCCCATGGTGTAGAATAGATCCAATCAGAAACTGTTGAGGACCATGATGGGTCCACATGTGCCTGGAAGTCACCCACCCCATGAGGACCAGGGATACAGCCACCATCAGTGCTGTTGATCAACCATGACGTATAGTGATTCAATCCCAAAAAGTCAGCTGTTCCATGAATCCTCTTGCTCTCTTCAGCTGTGAAAACTGGAAGCCTTGCAGGCTCAGAAAGAGGGCACTTGTTTCTTTTCTGCTCAATCTGAGTCTTGAGTGTTTCAGGATAATCTCCATTCACAAATATGGGATGTGCAAACCAGCCAAGCATGAACTGCAGGTAGCGATCTGCAGCTGCTGTATCTTCAGGCCTGGAAGGGTCCTTGGGCTCAGCCCAGTCAGAGTTCAATGCAATGCCTACTTCACCTCCTTGTGCTTTCCTGTATCTGTCATTGTAGACATGCCAGGCCTCTGCATGGGACTTGAGTATATTGTGTGTGACCTGCGAGTCAAAGTAAATTGTTAGGTAAATGTTTACAAATGACCATAAAACAGTATATTTGTAATAAAATGGTAAGGCACTTCCTCTTACCTTATAGGAGGCAACCACATAGTCTTTCACTCCAGGAGGATGTTCACCAGTGCCATACCCAGCATGGCTCACTACCCAAGGGCTACTGAATGTATTCCATGTCTTGACCCTGTCTCCAAACCTGGAGAAACAGAAGTCAGCGTAGTCCTTGAAGGCTTCAACAATGGATGCATTTGTCCATCCACCATAGTCCTGGAGTGCTTGGGGCAGATCCCAGTGGTAGAGAGTAACAACAGGTTGGATCCCAGACTCAATCAGAGCATTTATCAGCTTGTCATAGTAAAGAACCCCTTTCTCTGATTGGCTTCCCCGTTGGCCTGATGGGAAAATACGGGCCCAGGAGATGGAAAACTGGTAGGTGTTGACATTAAGACCTCGCAGGAGGTAGACATCATAGTCAACCTTATTATAACTGTCACAGGCTAGATCAGCTGTATGATTATCAAAAAAATGGTTTTCATGACCCCAGCGGTCCCAGATGGTCTCTCCTTTCCCATCTTCAGACCAGCCACCTTCAACTTTGAATGACTCACTGGAGGTCGCCCACTGGAAGCCATCAGGAAAAGATTCATTCAGCAAAGCATCTGGCTCGGATAAGGTCTTGGTGGCAAAATCGCTCCAAACCTTGCAATAAGTCATGGAACATGATGACGTTGGAAGTGTGTTTCTGATATAAGGAACAAGATGTTGAAAATTAAATTGAATTACATACTTAAGTAAAAATCCAACAAACATTTTTTCTGCAAATGTTTGAAATGGCAAAATAGAACTGGCAGAACTTCTTATGGCAATAAAGTACACCCTGTAGTTTTAAACGTAGTTTGTCCTATGCATACACAAAAATACACATATTTACGAAAGACATCTCTTTCAATCCTTCACTATATCCCTTATTTGGAATTTTTGTCTAAAAAATGACCTCTTGTTTTTCCACTGTCTGCACCTTCCACCTTTTACAGTGATTGGATTTTTCTCACTTTATATTTAAAATTGCTTCTAAAATAAATCAATACAATAACATTTTAAACTGAGCCGTCCCCAATACTTTCTGTGGCATGTTTCGTACAATTACAACGTCTTACATCAGTGTCCATGTTCGCTGTAATACCTTGGTTGGATATCGTCAGCTGGACGTAGCATGTCAACAACGTCAAGTCCAAAAACATTTTGGGGTCCATTGGTCAGCACTGTAAATGTACGACATGTGTTATTTTTTGATATAATGCATGTATCCTGCATTGTTATCAAACTACATTATAACCGCTGTTCAAGTTTCATTTGTAGTTTAGGTGTTTTTTTACAGAATGGCAAACAAAAGTGTTGTGATCAACTATGAGAATACTTGATGATACTATGATTCAAAGAAAGCAAGCTAAAACCTTTTACTTCCAACATTACCTTTCAAAATGTTTGTATCTGACAGGAACTGATAGGGAGAGCAGTGTTTGATGTTAACCTCATAAAAGAGAATGGGTTTTTCTTCACACTTTGCCTGCAAGAAAGAATAACTGTCATGTTCAATGCAAGTGCATGACAGAGCATACCAAGACAAACGTGGTAAATTTTTCTTCATTTTGTTATCCATGCAGATGAGGACTGTTAACTATGTTTTGTAATACATTTCTACATACCAAAACATTCTGAAGTTCCTCAGCCAGCTCTCGCCCAATGGTGCAATCATAATGAATCTTAATGGAGATGAAATCTGAATATCTCTGGAATAGACACACATGTGAGTGAATGTGAATATGGATCCCATATTATTCCGCAGCAGAAATTAAATTATTACAAATTCAATCTGCCTTATCTTTCAGAGAAACCATCCTAATATTCATCTTACCAGTAGTTGTGTATTAGAGATGATTGATACTTCGTCTGCCTTTACTCCAACAGATATTCCTCCATCTGAAACACAAGTGGTGTTAAAATAAACAATTACATGCACTTTTTCTTTACTAATTACACAGATAAAGGACATTGTCCTTTCCCCTGCTTCTCTCCAGTCCCTTATCATGACCTTTGGAACATGTGATGAACAGCTTTGGAGCCCATAATCATGCACAGCCTTATTTACTGCACATCTTATAATGCAGCAACAAAAAAAATACAACTCCAGAAGGTAAAATTACAGTAAAGGATAAGAAAGAACAGGTTCATAATAAAAAAAAAATCAGCCAAAGAAAAAATGTGTTGCTCTTATCATATAACAGTGATGCAGATAATATGTTAATGTACAAATGCAAAACAGAATGACAGGACCGTTTTTTTTTCATGATTTAAAGATCTTCTCTAATTGAACAATCCACAAATCCTTAAAAGGAACATATTAACATACATACAAGAACTATTTAAAAACTTTTCCCACTACATAAGACAGTAGCAACTGAAAAAGATAACTAGTCTCTTTAATCCTGCTGGACCCTGACTCAACATTATAAACAGATTTGGGGAAGTTGCAAGTATTAAAGTATTTTGACATATTAATTATAATTTATAATGAACAAGTTTTCAGAGGATTATCTAAGAAAATGTTGAGTAAAGGTGCAATGCATCTCCATTGATATTGGGGTGCAGCCTATGTATAGCATGCATTAACAATTATAAGACCTGTTGTTAGGAAAACTTTAGTATTAGTTTTTCATGCCTCACTTTTAAAATGCTAGTTGAAGAGATATTTTTTAAATTTGCAAATATGGATTAAAAGTTTCCCATTCTGTAAAAGCTACATAACATTATTCTATCAGGGAAACTTGTACATAATGTTTTAATATCTATATATTGTTCTATGCCTTTCTTCTCTCTTATGAAATGTGTTTGTTTTTCTTACCGGTTGATTTGTATTTTACTCTTGTCGTCATCTGCCCAGGGACAACAGATGGAAATGAGCTAGTTAGCTAAATCTGGTACAAAGCATCTCTTGTCTTCCCTTCTGAGACTAATGTTTTTTTATGTACACTGTCCCTGATTCAAATAAACTAATAAACTAAACTATCAAATCTCTGCACGTGATGTCATAAAACATTGATCTCCTACCTCTACCAGGAAACAGTTGGTGGTAGCGCTGGTAAACACTGATATGTGCATCAAGAGCATTTTGCAGCTCAGCATCCCTCAGCTCATCCAGGCAGCTCAAAGTCAACCAGGAGTCTGTCAGCTCTCCAAACAGTCCAAACACAAACTCTGCATACTGCTGAAACATCTCCACCAGCTCCTGGCTCTCCCAGCCTCCATATTTTGATCTCAGAGCTTCTGGCACTGCGGATCCATGAAGGATGACCAGAGGCTGCAGGCCCACGTCCAGCAGCTGTTTCATCAGAGTCTGGTAACAGGAGACCGCTGCTTGCTGAGGCTGACTGGACAGGCCTGTGGGTAGGAGCTGAGTCCATGATAGCGGCACTTTGTAGTGGGTCACACCTGTAGTCTGGAGGAACTTGAAGTACTGTTGAAATTCAGGAGGAAGTGCATAACCACAGTCAAATGTGTCCAGTAGAGCCCAATCAGAGGGGTTTCCACTCAGACCTTCCACCTGTTCACTGGTCATAGGACCGGCAAGAAACACTGCCTGGCGTGGATCCTCATGTTTCTGGCACATGCACCCAAACACAGTGATCAAACAGAGAGAGAAAAGTTTCCCCGGTAACAACATATTGTCTGAGTGTGGGGAACTGAATGAGTTATCAGACGGCTGACCTTTTATAGTAACACCGTTTACAAGCCTGAACTTTCAGACCGATGGAAGTTTCATGATTGACATTACTGTACTCAGAAGTCACCTCTGCTGTGATACTTTATGATGTTTTCTTAAAAGCCTCTCACAGCCTTGGATGTGTCTGATAAAATGCAGAAGGTCAAACAAGAGGCCAAGATTTATGATGCGAGGCAAAAGAAAAAATGTGTGTACAACGTTCAAGAAGGAGAAAAACTATTGGTGGGATTTTACGACTTTATGTCTAATTGGTGAGCCTAATCTCTCTGTTTAGTTCAAATCTAAGCTTGCTCGTCTGGTGCAGACTGCCATGAGGGTGATGGGGAGGAATGAAAACTTCTCCCTACAGCCAATATACGAGCAGTGTGTTCTCAGACAGGCACAGGGAGTGTTGTCCGACCCGTCTCACTTCCTCCACTGAGTACGAGCTCACCCGATGTAAACTGAACTGCTTCAAAAACTCTTTTGTTCCCACGTCAATCAAATTTCTGAATAATGTTTCGTAACGGTGTGTTTGTTGTGCGTCATGGTGTCCCTGTATGCTTTTTATTTTTTCTTACCTTTGTTATTTTATCTCTCATGCTTACTCATAATAAAGAGTAAGCATTACATCTTGTGCAATATGGGTATGTGCAATATATGTTGTGTTGTTCTGTTTTGGTATGTGCAAAGGGGACAATGTGCAAAGGGGACAATAAAGTGTATCGTATCATATTGTAAATGTTTATTAGCTCTTGGTCCCTGCTTTCTCTGCCTCACAGAACCGTGCTAGTGAAACAGGACGGTAGGGCGGGGGAATTGTGGAGACAGGAGGGGAGGGGGGAGCTAAGGGATGAAGGAGCTGTGTCTGAAGAGAGCTTTATTTTGATCTGAAGCTCTGCTCTGAAAGTCTCCTGCACGATGTCTTAGAGTCAATCCACCTCACTCACTCATTTAAAGTCTGTAAAGATTATACATTTATTTAATGCAAACTGTAAATTAACATTCACTTCATCATGTCTGATGTAGTCAAGGAATCTAATTAGAGCTCCACTATGGACCATTTTGGTGAGGCAAAACTTTGAACCCCCCCCCTTATAATAATCCCAACAATGTTTGTTGACCTTTGAACCACTTAGTTCTCAAGATTTTTCAACTATTGTAATCAAAATTAAAAACGAAAAATGTAAAAAAAGAAAAATGAAACGTCTTGTTAGAGATACTCCTCTGTGATTAAATTTCACACATTTCTCTTCTTCAGTTTGTTGAAGTCACTATTTTGAACTTATTTCCCTGTTGAGGAGTATTTCTTACACTTCTGGGTTCAAATTCAGGTCGTTTCATTGGACAGCTGCTCTTCTGCACCTCATACTTGGCCCTGCATGCTTTTAAGAATTTACATTTTCAGAACCATGTTGTAACCATGTAATTCATTGTTTTTAAACGTGACTAAAGGAGGGACGAGGTTATTTCCTGACATGTGAGAGTCCAGAGTCTTTCTGACCGTATCACGAAGCTGTAATAAAACCCTTTAGCTAACACTGCCTTGATATGATATCCATCTTAATTGTGTAATGATGCAATAAGACAGAAAACAGAATTGCTTAAAACAGCTTGACTATCTCTTGATAATATCAGTCCATCCTTTTCAAGCCACAATGAAGTACCTGTTGTGGTTAGCATTTCTGTATGTTTTCTGTCTGTACGGTTGCTGGAGCGGGGAGGTAAATGGACAGGAGGACTTCATGCTGGTTGGAGGGCCTCTGAGGGTCTCAGACATAGCTGTGAATAATGCCTTTGATTGCAGTAATCCCATTCCTCTAGGCTCTAAAGAGTACTTTGAGTACCTCCAGAGCAGAGGTGTGACCCACTTCAAAGTGCCTCTGTCATGGACTCAGCTCCTACCCACAGGCCTGTCCAGTCAGCCTCAGCAGGCTGTGGTCACCTGCTACCGGACTCTGCTCAAACAGCTGCTGGACGTGGGCCTGCAGCCTCTGGTCATCCTTCATGGATCCGCAGTGCCAGAAGCTCTGAGATCAAAGTATGGAGGCTGGGAGAGCCAGGAGCTGGTGGAGATGTTTCAGCAGTATGCAGAGTTCGCCTTCCAGGAATTTGGAGCTCTGGCAAACTCATGGGTGACTCTGGGTGATGTACATACTGATGGACCGGGTGAAGATGTTCAAGGTTCTCTGCAAAATATCCTCCAACTCAACAAGAACATTTACCAGCTCTTCCACCAAATGTTCCCTGAAATAGGTAAATTAGACAGCTGGTGAAGAATGACTGTCTTCTTTCTGGTTCTCAGGATTGTTAATTGATATAATATTTTTCATAGTTAAATAGATAATAAATCATTTGTCGTCACATGGTTGTTTCATATTCTACATCATCCTTCTTACACCGAGAATTGTGTTTTTTATTCACTGAGTCCAAAGAAGTAACTCATAAAAATGATGACTTTATGACCAGCTTCACCCAATGATTTATGGCCCAGATTAAACGTGTAGATAATCCCGCCTATATCAATAAACAATCCTCGACACGTCAAGAAAATGAGACCAATCATTCTTGTATATAATGTGCTAATAAAGACTTTTTATTTGTCTTAAAAGGGTGATATAAATAGATGAGCTTCATGTGGAATAGTATGGAAGCGGACTTACATTAATTCATTTTTTTTAACTCTTTTTTGGTGATGGATATAGTTCAGTTTTTTTGTTGAGATATCCTTGTTATTTATCTCATTGTCTCAGGATATCATTGCTGGTCTCCTGTGAAAAAAAGTTCAATTTAAACTGTTTTCTCAAGATCTTGAGAAATTGACTGTTATCACGTGATGGCTTTAAAATAAAATGTATGGATGTATGTCCACTTAGGGCTTCCGTAGCATGGAAGACATTGTTATTTTTTATTAATAACACGTCTGTTTTGTCATAAAATCATCAGTGACAGGGGTTAAAACAACCTGAAGACGGTCACAAATTCCTCAGCTGGTTGAGATTCAATACACAAATGACAGATTCAAGTGCCTCTTTGCTTCCATCACACAGGGAGGCGTCTGTCACTCGGGTTGAGAGCAAGTGAAGTTTCTATTCTATCGCAGATTGAAGGTTCAACTACAGTAAGCAGCATATTTTTTTCCTTCATTGAAATGTGACTCCAAATGAAAGTAATTTAAATCAACCAAAAAATAATAATAATTAACAATTAAATCCAAGGAAATTTTTCAATATTTAATTGGTGGAATGTGAATCTAATATTCCTCCCTAGCCAATTTAAAATCAGTGATTAAACAAAACACTATTAATGACATCAGCATGTTTGTGGCTAGAATCAAAATGAGCTCATCTGGATTAAAATTATTCTTTTACTGAAGATTTTTGACAATCAAATTGCCGTATGAGCTATGATAACCTTTCTGCACTGATTTCTAGTTCTGAATGCAGCGACCAAACCAAACACTAATTCTTAAGATTTATTTATTTTGGTCTCTCTCATTCTCCATCTTTATCTTCACAAAATGTGCCTTAAAGAATAAAAATCCCTTTTGGCTTGGTCTCAGCTGATTTTACAAAAATTAAGGGAACCAAAACAACAAAGCGTGTGAAATGATTATATCCTCTGTTGTGTATTATAATGGGGACAAACAGCACCAACATTATTTTTTTAAAGGTTTTGACCTCTTGGTAGTTTCCCTACCAAGCTATAGCAGATTTCTACTCTGAAGTTATTATCATTCATTTGCACAGTCCTGGTGGGGCCTTCAATGTGTTAGCATTGTCAGAAGTTAATCATCAGCCACTGAAATCTTTTATACCTCTCCTTATCTTACTCTAATCATTGCGCATTGTGGCTTTCATAAGTTTTCAACTTATTATTAAATAGTTGTGTTTAGTAGCAGGGATGGGATATTTATAATTCCAGACCCATGTTCCAAAAGATCTAGCCCCATAAATAAGAGGCTAGATCTTGGGAATGGGTTATATATGATGGAAAGGTTTATGTTTATATACAGCAAGACTGGATATCCAGAAACCATACTGGGCCCAAATTCAATCGTAGATCTGAAAAATTATCATATTGAAAAGAGGGCAGTACAGTCACTTTTCATGTCACACTTGCGCAAAACAGCTAGGTGGTTTGAATACATAGGTTAACTAACCTTAAAGCTTTAAATAATTATTTTCGGATTCGTGTACACATTCACAAATGTTGGTAAAAATGTGTAGATGTTTGTACACTTTTGCTAATGGATCCCTAATAAATTAAATGATTTTGCTTGAACAGACTGACATACCATAACCCAGCCCCCATAGATTTTAGATTTTAACGTCATAATGACGACGGCTGTGGGTCAGATGGTAGAGTTGTTGCCTCTCAACTGGAAGGTCAAGGGTTCAATCCCCAGCTGAGCAACATGTCCAATGTGTCCTTGGGCAAGACACTTAACCCTGCATTGCTCCCCCTGCTTTGGTGGTGGTGTATGAATGGATTAGTGTTGTACTTACTCTATGATGTACGTCGCTTTGGAAGTGTCTGCTAAGTGAATTGTAACAGTGTAACATAATGAAAAATGCTTTGCCTAGTAATAAAAAAATAATGCAGTTTCAAATGTGTGAGGAAACATGAGCCTGATCACGTATATGCTTTATCATCATATACAGATGGATTTCTTGTCAGTTCATATTGAATACAACTGTGCTTCTGCATCAAACTTTGCAAAGGAGCTGAGCAACTTACAGGTACAGTAAATGTTAAAGAGTAATACTTTATGCATTTTACAATTTTTGTTACACCACAGCTATTTGCATGTTGTCTTGCAGATGTCCAGTGGGGGTTTGCCTATCCTGATACTCAAGATGACTGTTGATGGTTGTTCCCTCGATCAGTTCCAGCTTCTTGGCGACTTTTTAAACGGTACATGTCATTGAAACTGTCTTGTTATCACTTTTTGTTGGATAGTATTTTCTGCAAAGT